GTTTCTTACTTGAGAATATGTCTTAAAGCAGTGTTCCGAATTCTCCCCAGGTTCATATTTTCTCTGCTTTTTGCACTTCTTTCTGCCTCGTTACAATTGCCAGAGATGCAAATTCTGGTGTCTTTTTTAACAGAGAAAGCAAGCTGAGGTTTATGAAAATTCTTGAGACTTTGGAGTTTCCTCACCCTCCCACTAGAATGCGTTGGGTTTGGGGATATAAGCAGAGAGAAAAGGTAACGTAGTTTTGTGAGGCATATTGGTTTAATGGAGATATTCCTACCTTTATAAGTGTCCTGGATAGCTTGTGGGTCCTGAAGAAAGCTAAACTTTATAATCAAAAGGAGGAAATAGAACTTGATTTTAAATTTCAAAGCGTGGAACAGACCACATTTTTAAAACTTTACTTTGTATCCTGCTCTCCTTTTATTTTAAAGTTAAGTTTGAAGTCTTTGACAGATACAGCTGAATGCCATTTGGTTTGTGTTGTTAGTCACTGCTGTTCTCTTCACAAAATCTCAGACTGGTTGATGGGTAGCATTCAGATCCTCAAAATAGTGGGAGGGTTCAAGCTGCCAAGAATTAATGCTTCTCTCTTGTTTGCGTTTGTCATTTTCAGTGGTTTCTCTAGTTGGTTGTTTGTGCTGCTTCCTGCACAAATTCCTGCACAGATTTTGTCTTGGGAAAAGGTATTTTTTTTCCACCAATATCGAAAAATCGAGAACTAACTTTTCCTCCTCTAGGAGTATAACTCCATTTTTTACATTCAGGAACTGGGGACAATACGGGAAGATTCACAGGATCATACTGTAGCTCATGACCCTTATATAGTTTCATTCTGAGACTTCTTAGCAGTGGGGAATATGAAACTGGTACTAAAGCTTCGGGTGAATTTGAGTCTCTGCTTGTACAAAAGAATGCCTAAGGCCAGTGCTGTGATTTGTCTATGTGTCCAGACTAGCTCAGCTTTGCCCCCCAAAAATCAGGAGGAATCATCACCATGTGAGCGTTTTGTGGAACTCTCCTCTGTTTTTCCAGCTTCCTATAGTTTGTCTTGTGGCTCTCAAATTCATGAGGGTATTCTATGTGTTATTTGTATGGTCACTGTTGCATGGCTAAACCTGCACACGTGAGCGAACTTAGCAGTCATCTGAAGGACTACAAGTATGTTTTGCTTGAGAATTTTTTTTTTTCTTTTTAGAATTGATATTTCAATGACCAAAGATATATCAGAAGTTATATTCTATACCTCTGTACTCTATTACCACACTTGAAAGAAGATGGCATGATGTATTTCATGGTTCTGAGCAGGTGCAAAATGATTAATTAATGATGTTAAAATAATCTCAACCAAAAAAAAAAAGCTTGTGATAAGAACAGCCGTCGTACTCATGTTTCAAATGTTGTAACCTTTTTTTTCAATGACTTCTGTCCTACAGTACCACTCTGGTCATAAGAATTTACAACAGAATTATAGCTACATAGTTGTTGTTTCCAATATTCTGTAGCACTGCATGCCATGCAAAAGTGATCATGATTTGCAAAGTAGTAGTTCTGTGTAGAAAGTATTGAAGAATTTGTAATAGCAAGCAGCATACAAGGCAGAAATTATCTTAAGGTGTTGATCTTGCTATATTCTAATTGAATTACACAGCCCAGAACATGGTAATGTCTGCCCATGACAAAGGCACCAAGTGAAGTATAAGTAAATCAGTTCTTCTTTTGGAGTACACTGTAAGAAACCATTGAGGACCAGTCTCATAAGTTGAAATTCAGAGTATTCCTTATTTTCCACCCAGTAATTGGCCATCTGCTGGGAATCTCTCATTCTTCAGGGATGATGAAATGGATTCTTGGGGTGTGTAAAATCCACTGTGTCTGTGAGATGATCAATAACACAAGTACAATATGGGTTAAATGATATACATCCTTTCACACCAAGTAATGAAGTGTACTTGCATTCCAAGAGAGGAAGTTCTGGGTTTCATCCTGACAGCTGTGTGACTGAAAGCATTCTTTGTCTGCAGCAAAGCCTCTGAGGAGTGGCATATCCCACCACAGCGTGATTAACTCCTATGACTGGTTTCAGACTCTGTTCAGGTGTTACAAGTTTCAGTTGTGTGGCAGAGGAGATACGGGATGCTCTTCAGTGAATCATAGGTTCATAGTTACAAAGGAATAGTCATCTCATTCATCGTTCAGCAAGGGTGAGCATGTTCTCATAATTTTCAGATTAATTTTTTCTCTCTGAATTTTATCTTTCACACCAATTGGATCTCTGGAAGAGTTTCTTCTTGCTGAATGATGGATGCAAGACTTGTTTCTGTGGCCAATAATTTCTTATATGACAAGGCCAAAATCTGTTAATAAAATTAGTTTCTTGCTAAATAATTGCCTAAATCCATACCAGCAAAATAGAAAATCTTGCAGAACCTTGCAAAAGAAAAGAGAAAAAAAAAAAAAAAAGAGAAGGTGGGAGAGGGACACACTTCCCCAGACTTCAATGGGTGATATAATCTTTCCTACTTGAAAAATCACAAGCAGCATTACAAGTAACAGAGGACTAAATCTTGCAATATGCTGTGTTCTTCAGGTTAGTTTATCTCTGGGGACCCAGCAGAAAAGAGCAAAGAGGTGTATCCAGCTTGTATATCCAGAGCTATGTAGAATCGTGAGTTCCTGAAAGCCATAGATCATCATGAGAATGAATTGGGCCCTAGCTAGTTAGCTCTATCTGCAAGTCTAATTATCTTGTATGCAATACTCTATACTACGACTCCAACATTTTCACCTCTGAAGCAGGCTGAGCTGACAGCTGGCTAGGGCTTTCTTTGCTATGTGGGCATGCATATGCATGCTCACTACCTTCCCATGGGAGAAGGAAGAGGACCAAGGCTCTCCCAGAAGAGCCTCCCACAGGCTTGATTTCTTTCTCTGGTTCAATATTCCACTAGAATGGAGTAACTTCAGTGTGAATGCTTGAGAGAGTCCTGGCTCAAGGGGACCAAGCAGTCCAATGCCTGGTGCGCACTTTCAGGACAGCACAAAAGAGTGCAATCAAGTACTTTGGTCTTACCTGCTCATAGATGTGTATGCAATTCTATAGTATTGGCTGCATTCTAACTCAGAAAATCACTGTATGAATAACTAAGGCTATATTTGCTGATAGAGATAACACTTATTTCTGTTCTCTGGAATTCTCATCCTTAAAAATGTTGTGCAAAGGAGCTGCTGTGTTCTTTACATGATGCACCCATATTTTGGAGGAAGTGATTAATTTCTGGAAAGGCACAGTCTGGGTCTCCTCAGACATTCACTGAGAGTTTCTGGGTGCTTGTGACTAGCAGTGTATAGTCTATCTTTATCTTTTATTTTTCAGTTTTCTATGAGTGCTTCAATTAATTCTCAGATGGGCTTAGCTTGGTATAGAGCAACATATTCTTTAGTAGCTTAGTTCAGTAAGGACTGGGCCATGCGAACTGAGTTTCGAATATCTGTCTGTAGAGAAAAGAATTAAGAAGAGAGGAAAAACTAGCTAGACTGGGGTTGGAGAACTGGATTTGAATATGGGAGGGAGAAGTTAAAAAGGAATCCTTAAATAGTTGAGATAAGCTCTAGTATCCTTATATCTTTATTTGAACCAGACTGTTGAACATTCATAGCCTGTCTATCTCACATCTATGCCCCTTGAGATATGCCTTGTATAATTCATCAGTTAGAGAGTAATACATTTGTAAGAGTTGATGTTGATGTAGATCTATCCCTCCTAGGCTAGCTAATACCAAACAGCGATTTCTTCCTGTATAAGGGAAAGAAGCTTTACAGGAGTTCCCTTGATGCATTCCATTTTGTCCCAAGATTTTCAGAAACCTGTTTAATACAATATTCTTTATGGTACTGTCTGGCATTTCCTGCTTCCTAAATAGTGCCATGCAGATGTTATGCTCGTACCAGATTTGTCTGGCTTTTTCTCCCTTCTGTCCTCCCTACCCATTCCTTTAGAAAAACGTTTCTCTAAACTCCTTGTAACAATTAAAGAGTTCACAACATTGTAGAAAGCAAACTTGGTGGAGTGTGAATTCTAGATAAATTCTTATGTATGTAAACATCTTCGTCTTAATGTATCTTTCAAAATGTAGGAAGAGGGGTTTTTTGCAGATAGGACTTCCATGTGCAGTGGACAACAGGTAAACTGCAATCTCCCTTGCTAGTTCTCATATCCATTTGTATGTCACCAAATTTGCTCTCATATTGTATCTTTAAAATCTCAGATGACTCAGACATGCATCATTTCTTGTAAACTTAATGTAAATTGGCTGAAACTTTAACATCTCAAGGAGCCTTAATAGTTTTCCAGATCTAACTTGTTCAACATGCTGTTCAGACATGACCTGCTTAATCTTTCCAACACTTCAATAAAATATTTAGCATACATAAATAGTGTTTTAGAGTTGAACAAATAGCTCATAATACTTTATTTATTACCAATTGTACATTTCTACAAATTAAGAAGTTGTGAACATAGTGCAAATATTTTAGATGTGCATTATTCAGAAGAATTTGGTATATTTTTGAAACGTGTTTTCTTTACCAATGAATCACAAACGGCTGAAAAGCAGTATCCAGGAACCAAAGATAAAATGAGGTTGGTTAATAACGGTAATCGTGTGATGCTCTGATGTTTGATGATTAGTCTATTTATATAAGTCACCAACATGGTGCCAATTTTGTAATTTACAATTGCATTAAACAATAAATTTAATTTTTTTATGTATAGAATTTCTGTCCAGCAAATTTCTGCTTCTGAAAGACCCTGTCAGGTCTTATGTCTTTCAAAAACCAACTTGAACTGACTGCAACTGAACGCAAGCACATTTCAAAATCATATTCAAGTTAATATTTTTCCTCTCTTTTCTCTGTCTTTTGTAGACTGTTGTAGAGAATGGATGCAGTATTGTGTGACTGTCTCAAGTCTGTAGAATTAACCCCTACTCAGACTGGAGAAGGAATACATTTCCTGGATTCTTGATCTCTCTTTAAGCCTCTGTGCCAGGGTGCCTTGCTATTATGCTTTTAAAGGACAGAGATCGAGGTCCAAAACAAACACTATTGTTGTTCAATATCCTTTAAGGAAAGACAAAGAAAATCAGCACTTCAGTAATATCAGCTTTTGGTCAACAGGAAACATGCACCCAGATTAAGCTGTATTATGCCAGGTATGTTATGAGAAGAAAAAACCCACCAAACTTCATTATATAATTGAACTCTTACCAGCTGTGTCATAATATTTCAGATGAGAGACTTTTTTTTAAAATTTGATTCTTTTCATTTCTGTAAGACTAGCTTTCATTGTTACTTAAGCCAAGTGATGATGTAGGCAATGGATGTGTGGTCTAGTGTGACAGTTCTCAGTTCTGTGATTAATTCATTCTGTTGTAATAGCATTCAGCTCTTCTCTTACATATTTATTTAACAGAAATTCAGGAACATGGAGAAGTGAAGTTCATTAGCAGGGGGCCCTGAGTGCTGCTAGTTGTCAGGCTCCTTGTTTACCAGCTGGGCCATGGAGACAGCTGTCTAGGCTTGGGCTGTTTTGCCCAAGTGTAAAGGATCAAGTCTGAGTAAACAAGCCACTGCTATTGTACAAGGAAGGGACAAAGTCCTTTACTGCTGGCTATGTTTAATCTGCAGAACTAACAGAGTTTACTGTATTTTATTTTGGAAGGGAGGGAACCTGATAGTTGCAGGTCCAATGAGGCAAGAGAAATGCTCTGTGGGGAATAAGATGCTCTAGTGATGCACTAACTGAGGCTTTGAGAAAGGTCAGACTGCTTGATGCATGTTTTACCCAGGAAGTTGAGTAGTGAAATGCTCCCACTGCTGCGCCTGCTGGCCTCCTCATCCTGCTCATCGCATGACGTGCACACACCTGCACCTTTCCTCTGAGAGCCAGACTAGAACCAGCTATTATCTTAGTCTCTGAAAACAAACATGCCTATTATGGTCTAAAATTAGGATTCTTTTCCTTCCCTTCCACCTTTCACAGCGGTCATAAACTGACCAACAGGGAGACTGCTGAAATTCAGTAAGTTTCTGTTTACGTTCAGGCCAGGTCTGGTTTTAGTGTTCTTTTTAACTGGAAAAGAGAGGTTTAACTACCCATTCCCATGCTGCTAAGTTTAGGGCACAGCCTAAATGTGGCTGTGTTATATGTGGCTGTGGCAAGATGGGCACAAACATACACTGTTTGAATAGGAATTGTTCCATGAATGAATCAGCTAGGACTCAGTTTCTACTTTCTTTAGATAGGAAAATATTTGACTGTAAGTCTGATGGAACCCCTCTATCTTCTCAGATTATATACATACATGAAAAAAATGTTATCATAATACAGATACTGAGACTAAACCAAACATTGTTCACAGCTGGCTTGAGTGGTGGAAATTCCTCAAAATCAGCTCAGAGCATGTCTTGACTTTGAAGGGCTCTGACCAGGTCCATATTAGGTGTAGCAGGCCTCTCAGATTTATCTGTTGGTGCAGTTAGCAGTTTGTTTATGCAAATCCTAAGTGTTTCCTAAGTAATACGAATCTTTGCATTTTGTACAGCTCACCTGCTCTTCTGGAGCATGAAGTCTTCAACTTTGTTATTCCAACACATGGCATAGAAGAGAGAGCAGATGAGAAAGGATGAGAGGTGAAACAAGTGCAGACGAGAGAAGTGGAGGTAGAAGTCAAAACCAGGAGGAGAATGGGGAAGACAAGAAACCTCACATCCTGGAGATGACCTGGTATAAGCATGGTTTACGTATTGTTAAAGGGCAAAAGCAAGAAACGAAAGCAGGAAGACAAAAATGAGTGCCAAGATGGCAGCTCATGCCCTAGTGTGCAAATTTCTGTGTTCATATTGTGCAGTGGGTGCTGGGAGGGCCAAGCAGGAAGCAGGAGGAGAAGAGGAAAATCAAAACCACCTGCAGAGAATCTGTCCCCCCCATCTCTCAGTTCCCCCTGTGCTCCCCCAGCCTTCACACAGCTGCTACTGGCTCTGAGTCACCAGTACAAGCAGTACATCTTTTCTGTGCGCTGACTTTTTGGTGGCAGCTGATATGCTCTGTGCAGGATCCTACCCCATCTCCAGCTCTGACCTAGTAACTAATGGGGTATAATGGTGTGAAAGATGTGGATGGGTACTTGTGCCAGGATGTCCTGCTGGTGCCCCGCTGTGTGCCAGGGGGTTCAGCCAGGGGCTGATCTGTTTGAGACAGGAGGAGCGAGGAAGCTGACAGGACCACATGGTCTGCTGAAGAGGAAAGCTTGCTGCAAAGCGTTTCTTGCAGCGTACTTGAGCAATTCTGACTTAGAGATTTTTGACTGCATTGGATTAGCAAATTGTTTAGGGATCTGGGGCAAACCAGTAAAACAGGATGATGAATCTGTGCGGTAGGTGCCAATCTGGGTTGCTGCCTTTTTCAGAAGTAAACAACTAGCAACCATTGTTCATCTTCCTGACTCTCTGCAGGACACAAGCTGTAAATTACATCTGGGAACAAAAGGCTGATGGGAGTAGAACCGGGTGCCCAACTTCCCAAGGGAGTGCTTTGCCCTCCAGCCAAAAGAGTAGCTTTTCTGGCTCAGGCTAGCACAGCCTCCTCTTCTGCCTTCCCAACAGCACTCAGAGCCCAGGAAGTGTGCAGTACAGGATTTACTACACTGAAGCATTTACAACCATTTCCATTACAAAACCTGGTTTCAGGGTTGATCGTGAAAATTAAATCCAGTCTGAAATGTGGCAAACAAGATTGCAGTCTGGGGACACAGGAGGAAATCTTATTAAAAATGCCATATCTTACTGAGATCCCAGTTACATGGGTATAAAATCCTCCTTCCACTCCCAAACTGTCTTACAGCCAGACCAACTGTAGTCTATGCTGAATGGTTGCTGCCATGAACAGAATTATCTAATGTGATTTTTTGTACTTTTTATTCTTACCAAGATTATATTCTTCAGGTCCCTACGATAATTGAATTTTCCCCATGATTTGAAATTTTCATAAAAATAGATTCAAAAAAGAATTCTTTATTAAAAATATTCCTTCAGCTGAAAATAGAAAAAAAAGTTTTCAAATTAAGAACATTCTTTTTTCACGTTAAAAAAAAAAAAAAAAGGCAAGTGATTTTGACAGAAATAAAATTTATTTCTTCCCTCTGTTTCAGTTGTTCCAATTTCGTAAAGAAACTGTTCTCCACTGATCTCATTTACTTCATAAGTTCAGGTATTTTCATTTGATAATCTGTATATATGATAAAAATCCAAATAAATATACAGGGAAATGTTGCCCTACTGAATTCAGTGGAATTTTGATGTTTGACTTCAGCTGGACCAGAATTTCATCCTCTAAGGGAATTCCAGCAAAAAACGTATCTTTGTATTGCTGTGAGCCACACGTTCCTTTTCAGGGGCTCCAAACCATGCACTCCCTAATAGGATTTTTATCAAAATTAATTGGTACTGGCTGCAGTTCACATGTGTGATAAAATCATGAATTGGTGCTGCTGTACTTGATAGCGCCATCGTGGACACAGTATGTGCTGTGTCAAAGGCTTCTGAACAAGGCAATTTTTTTAAAGTTGTGGTTTTGTAATTTTAGTTGTTGGATTTGTTGATTGATTCTCCTTTGAAAATCCACCAAGTTCATTTGGTGCCACTTAATATTTTATAATTTTTTGGTGTCAATAATTTAAGTCATTGCGGCCAAAGCTAAGGGCGTTGTTAACAATACTGTCAGGGGAATAGATTCTCAATTGAAAAGAACTGATGGCCTCAACTTGAAGCAATGCTCTGCTACATTTCCTCAGCTGAAGAGCTGCTTCAAGATTTTCATGTTTCCTAGGATTATCTCAAGCTAAACCAGAACTTATTTATTTCTCTATGAAAGATTGTATGTCCTATACATTTTCCAGAGATGAACATTGCCTTTGACTTAATTTTCTGGGTAGCATCAGGCCCTGCACCCAGGCCAAATATGGATTACTGCCTACCTCAGGCCAACATACTGTAAGGAAGAAATTCCATGTTTGGGTGGGAACTAAGGAAATATTTTCATGTCAGGCTTTTTATTTATTTGTTAGTGGCAGCACTTTGAAGTGCTCAGGGATCTGGAATGTAGGTCTGTGTCCTAGACTGGTGTGTATGCAAGCAGATGGCATGTGAAATGGTCAGACTGACTTGGGATGTACTCAATATTCTTTCTGTGGTTTATCACATGAAATGATGTACTGTGATGAATTATTCTTGTATACATCTGTCTTTTCCACTTGTATTAGGCACTAGAACATCTATGCACCTGATCTAAACGTGCCTAATCTTAGCCCAATTGCAGCAAAAAAAAGAGAGACAGGTATTTTGAAGTGGAATACCACTACTCCCAGCAAACACATGCAGGAGTATTGAGATGTCTAAAATAAGTATCAAATAATTGAGAAAAAGACCTGGTGATAATCTGATGTCAGAAGAGACGGAATGAGAAACTTCAGTCCATGGAGTGAGTAGGAATTTCCACTGCTGGTAAAATAAGAGTGTTGTTTCTGTAACACTTACCAGTATCCCTGAAGTGAACATTATTCTCCACTTACCCATGGTAAAGAAAACATGTTTTGTTTTGTTGTTATTGTTCCATTTAAATTGGAATACAGGACATTAACAGAGTGGTATTTTATGTTTATCCAAAAAGAAACCAAAACAAACAAACAGCAGTCAAAAATATCCAAATTTTATTTAAATATTCAATTCCTTTGTCTCATGCATGGCGTGAATTTCAAAAGAAGTTTATCAGTTGAAGAAATTTCCTTTGTAGATCCTCAGTAAATTATAACAGGCCTTAACTGTGTACCAGCATTTTAAATCCCACTAAGCTTCATTCATTCATTCATAAAGTTAGATGTCTGCACATATGTATAAATATACAGGGATTCACAGAACTATTTTCACTCCTACAAACAGTAAGTTACATAGGAGCTAATTTTTGCTCTGCTCTTAAAAACATTTGTTTCAAAAGAAAAAGCAACATATTCACAAAACAATATGTTTAATCTGTAACTTCAAAGTTGCTAGTTTCTTAATAAAAAGATCCTCTGGGTTTAAGGAAAAATTTTCACTTTAACCTTGTCCCATCAGATATCCCAGACCTGTAGGAAAGCCTGTTGGAACCTGTTGCTCGGGAGCCAGCTGACGGAGGAAGGGATGCCAGCCATCTTTAAGTCAAAAGTCAAAGGAAAGGCAAAGTATGAAGTTCTTGTGCCCGTGCCTGGAAAGACCCGTCTGTATTTTTCCACTGTTTGGTGTTAGCTGAGATTAAAAACTAATGAGAAAATTATTTACAGCAGGAGCATCAACACCATGGTAATCTGATACAGAACTTTTCACTTTGAATTTGCTGAGTGAAACTGAAACTGGGGAAGTACCATCTGCCTGCCCTATTGGCTTCTATAGGTGGGATGTGCCAGGCTGGGTGAGCCCTCGCAGCCCCAAGTGCCACCCCACAAAGCACCTCATGACTGCTGAGGAGAGACACTGTGAGATCACCAGGGTGTGCAATAGACATGTCTCTCTCTTATCTGCAGGGGCTTTGAGGTTTTCACCAAGGATTTCATGTGCTGTCTTTTGCTAACTGTGGAGTCCCAAAGAGCCCCACACACTCTGTGTCTCCCTTGGGAAGCATGACTTCCACTGCATGCCAAAGACTGCTACGTGCTCTCGTCCTGTTCCTCTGCCTTGTGAATTGGAAATAGGAGGAACGACTCCTTCCCTATGTTGTACCATCAATACAATAAAGCATTGACCTTGGTCCTCGGTCCTGGCACTGAGTAGTTACCTACCTGCTGTTGGAGCACAGGGTGGAACGGGCTGCAGGCGACGGAGCCGCCTCGACTTACTTGCTGTGTGGGGATATCCTCCGGCTGTGAGCAGGAGCATCTCAGGAGAGCCCGTGGCAGAGCAGGTATTTTTGCTTGCCCTAAATTTTACTGCAGAGTGAGAGTATGATGAGATGGGACAAAATCAGCGAAAATATTTTGGAGAAACATCCAGGCAGTTGTAGGTGTTTAGCTGGCTTCTCAAAGCTGTATTGCTTTAAGTTTGCTTAGTTTACATTAATAAGATTGTAAAAGGCAGGAGGGGGAGCTTACAACAGTCAGTACCTTCCTGAGCTACCTCATGAGAAATTACACACATTTTTCTGCAAGCGCAACAGCTACAACTTTTGCCTGTACTTGTGTAAGAAAAGGCTTAGCGCCTCTTTAAAACTCGTGTGTCTGCTTAGTCAGAACTCACGGCCCCCCCGCGGCCCCCCCTGCCCTGCTCCGTAACTTTTGTTGCAATATGGGGTGTGACTTTTGATGGAGCTCCCCCTCCCAGTTATGTCATTACTTCAGTTCCTTTGAATCAGAATAAAAAGTGCAGCAAACTTCAGACTCATTGACTGCAGGCTTAACAGGCGCTGGGGCTTTTCTTCCTTCTGCAGCTTGCGAGGATCTCTGTTTTTTTGCAAAGCAGTTCTGAGGAAACAATGGCCAACTTCTACTTATGGGCAACTTTTGGATTATGCTTGCTGAAGCTTTGTCTAACAGAGACACGTAAGTTTTTTTATGAATGAAGCTTTTTATGATTGCTGATAAGTTTGTGCTTCAGACAGCAACAGTTCTGCTGCTGTATAGCTAACAGCTTTCTTGCATTTGTCTTTGTATAAACTGTTACTTGCAGGACTTATTGGAGATGCTTTTGAATTGTAACCTGGGCTGTGCTGTTCTGTACAACCAGGGGAAGCTGGTGTACTGATTGTAAATGACAATTCCAGATCCATAAAAAGGGAGTCGTAGAGCATTAAAGTTTAAATTAAGAGCAGAAGTATGCTTGGGAATCTGGAATAGTTCTGGTAAATCTGTGTTCAACACCCTTGGTTTGCTCTCCCAGCACTCTTGGAGGCTGGGGTGAGGGAACCCCCCTCAGCATACAGCAACTGTATTCCTGAGCTGAAGGGATTGAACTAACAGCTAACGCAATCTGAGTTTGGACACAGCCTGGAAAACAGAAACACGACTGCAGTGATCTGTGTGATTGAAATTTACAGAGCTTTTCTGCCAAGCATGCCTGTTTCTGACTTCTTAAGTTTTCTTTGGGGCTGACTGATGAGAGTTTCAAACAAAGGGCGTCAGGAGTGCCCACAAAATTGATTGTGTGTCAATCAGCTTTCTGTGGCTTGGTTGTCTGCTTCTCATATTTGTATTTATAAATGTTCATATGGAGAAAGAAATAATAGCTGTGGTCCAAAACAGCAAAATGCTCTAGAAATTTGATGTGGTGCAGGCTCAGCAGTGTCCAAGGAAAATAGCCATGCTTTTAACAGACTCTCACTGTGACAGAAACTGCCTTGAGGCACTCTGTGGTCAGGGCAACAATTATCCTTCTACATTATTTTTTCCACTCATCAGTTCCAGAAATCTAACAAAGTACATTTTTCATTGCCATTGTCACCCAAGGGCTGTGTTTGTGCGCATGGTACATATATATATCATTTGTTTCAGCAGCAGTGAATACTTCTGTAATGGTGGCAGTGCTGCCGAGCTGTGAATGGGTGTGTCGGAGTGAACAGTTCCCAGCACATCTGGGATAGCTGGAGAACCTTCCCTGCTCTCCTGCCTATGAATTGTCTGCCCACTGTTCCAAAGTGTGCTTGTTACAATCAGGTATATAGATGCAGTCTATAGAGAAAGGGCAGGAGTACTGCATGAGAGGAATATCCAAGACAAGACTTTGGCTTACTCCGAGTCTGTTTGCTGTATGAGAATTACAGTGTTTTGGTTACCCACCTGCTCAACTGATTTCTCCTTTTATGAGCTGCCAGGAGCGTCCTAAAAAAGTGGGGTCTGTACTGGTTCGGGGAGTCATGCAATTTTGCGGTGAGGCATGGAAGAAAAGCTCACCATCTACTCTTCAGCGTAGTTGCAAAAAGTATGTCAGACTGCATGTATGCCCCACGGGGAAGTTTCTTTAATGGCTTAGCAAGGTATTAGATTATAGCTACAATATATTTTAGTTGGTATGCAGTGCATTCCAGCATGACTTTGTAGTCAGTAATGACTTCAAAACGGCAGTTAATGGTAGTTTTATTTTCTTTTTTTAAACCAATGACTTCGCTGTGCATCACAGGATACTGGTCATAGCTGTTGATTACACTGTTAGTACTGAATGTGGCAAAAATGGAAACAGCCTGAGCTTACTGTTAATGTGACTGCTAAAGGAAAGATGAGATATAGAAAATCTGATTCATCCTGAGTTCAGTGCTGTTGTGACCATTCTGTCACTGTTATGTGAGGGAGGGGTACTTGTGGTATTGAGATGATTTCTGTTGTCCGATGAGTTTGAGCCACATTTCATAGGCCAGGAGAGTTTAGCTGCAGACAGATTGGTTAATGACAGCTCTGAGGGGAGATTTTCCCCTGTGGACATGACATATTCGTAAAAGCATTTCTCTCATGGTTTTCCTTGATTAACAAGAAGTGAATTGTAGAATTTTGACCCCTAAACTGGAAGAAGCTGAAACAAAAGTAGGAGCAAAGATGAAGTGCAAAGGGAGAGAATGAGTCTACCAGTGGAGGGAGGGATTCTCTGTTGGCACCCAAGATGTGCCAGAGCTGCAGGATAGGGCTCTGAGAAAGGGCTCCTCAAGTTATCAGTCAATCACAGAGGAAGCCTTTTAGCTTACATGTGTCATGGTAATCTGCAAATGAAGTAGATTAAATAAGCTATTTGCACTTCTTTGTGCTTTTTATTCACTTGTGTGTGTGTTGGCTATTTTCCCAAAGTTGCCAAGAAACTTGAATGAAGTTCGCTTTGACTTCCATCATTGTTTTTGTTAATGGAAAAGTTATATGTCTGCCCTTGAACTGCTCTCACACAAAGAGCCAACAATCCATGGCAGAAGATTGTCTTGCTATCTTTGGAGAAATATTTGTTGCTTCTTTAGTTCTCGGTGTTCACCACAACGCAGAGCCATTACCTTGAAAACAGGAAGAGAAAGGCTTAATGAGAGAAGATAGCATCGTACAAGTGAGAAGAACTTCTTTAACTAAATGCTTTTAAAACCACTGGTAGCTCAAGCCAAGATGAAATGAAACGTTCTCCCATACCTGGCGTGTCTTTCTTTCCAGAACTGTTCCCATGCCTTTCATAGGCCAAGGAAGGCCTGTACTTGAAGGCTGTACAAATACTGTGGTAATTTATCTAGTACCTAAACATGCAGGAGGTTCGACTGCAGCAAGAATGTTCTAGCAGCGTGAGATGTCCTCAGCTGCTGATAGACAAGTATAAACAGTAAAGTAAAGCATGAGCTCATTGCTGCTAAAATACTTGATATTGAAGAAAAGAAGTAAAAAAAGGAGTAAAAAAATTGTTTTTATTAATGGACAGCAGCGAAAGCATTTCAAATGAAAGACTGTGGAAAAAAGCAGAAAAAAATACAGTGAGGAAAAATGATGAGGATCTCAAAGTGATATTTGGTTGCATGGTCAAGAGCACAATGGATTTGTGAATAAACTAAAATTGGTTATATAGATATCATAAGCCTTGAAGAATTTTAACTTAGAGAAGAAATCTGAAAAGTATCTAGGCAGGAAACTAGTGTAAACCTCTGCAAAGATTTCCACTGATTTAGAAACCAACTGTAAGCTGTGGGGAAAAATAAGAAATTAGTAATAAATCAAGATTGCAGTAGCCATCAAGTTAACCTGTAATAGGAATGGAGTATATAGATGTGTGAAAAGTTAGAATAAGTAAAATCTGTACTTTTCATATGGCAGAGGAGAATATAGAGGTGAAATCTGTGAGATATGTGTTAATTAAAAAGAAAAGGACAATCAATAAAATATGGCAATGCTCTTGCCAAAGCAAAGGTGGTATTCAGAGGGAACAGCTAAAAAGCAATGATAATTAGGTTTGAAAATAGGTTGCTAAGAGATATTTTTTCTAAGAAGCGATTACATAAAGAGATTGGATAAATGCTTTAAAAGGACAGTTTGGATGTTGGTGATCGTGCTCCTGGGTAAGAAGATGGAGTAGAAGTCCTGTGGTAACTGTGTTTTTGCTTTGAGAAAAGGGTAATTTTAGTTCTGAGTGCAGTTGACTCGTAGCGAAATATGTCATAGAGAAAGCAGGGGAAAAAATGATAAAGAGAGGAAAACTGTGCCCAAGAACTTTGGGGAAATTCCAGAGACGATGTAACAAAGCTTCCACACTGGCTTTCTCATCTTCTTGCTCTGTATTTCTGTTCTGACACTAACGAGCCTGTGCTAGGATAGAGTAAGGCAATTTTCAATCCCACATAACATATATTACATTATTTTCAAAAACATTGATATTTCTTTGAAAGAGAATCCCATGCAAGAGAACTGTTCTCTGAAATTGTTTTCCCAGGACTAAGTCTGAATGTATATGGCTAGCTCACAGAGAGGATAATGGTGAAATGGCCAGGACCAACATGCCTTCTCTGAAAAGAATACAATAGTGTACCGGAGTAAGTGATGCTGTTCAAAATATGATATATAAGCATCAAATGATAACCTAGAGCACGTATTAATCAAATTTGGGGTTTTGGCTCTGAATTGAATTTTTAGACTACAGAATTTCAGACTTCAAGTGGAAAGTGAACAAAGTGAGAGAAGCAAGACTAAGGTTGGGATTGTCACCTGTACCTCTCTGCTAAACATGTTGTGGTTGGTACTGAGTAAAACCCACCCCTACAGCCTACTTTTAGTGGTGTATCTGGTGGCTTGGACAATTCTCTGTGGTCTATCGGCAGCTGGAAGGGAGAGACACTTTGGAGCAGCTTCTGCCTTTTTCCAGATGGTGCCAGAAATTCAGGAGCACTGTTGTCTGTCACTCCAAGAGAGGTAATAGTCATTTCAAAGCCAGGCTTACAGCCATCAGACACTGTAATTGTCAGTGACCATTGTGGCTGCTGTTAATAGGGGTGGCAGAGAAAATTGTTTCAGCCCTGCATGTTTATCAGCTTCCTTCCCGTGAAATCACAGGGCTCTCCACGGCGGCATTAGCAGTAGTATCAGCAGCAGCTGGCGGTGATTTTCATCCCTCGCTGGGGCCCACCCCACCCAAGGCACAGTGCAGAAGCCGGGAGATGCATGAATGAATCTGCAGGCAGCGATGTGCAACAGCAGCCAGCAGAGGAAAGAGGGGTTTTCCTCGGAGAATCCTCTCAGTCAGACGGAAAGTTCAGCTAATTGCAACTTAAAGTTCAAGCCTCTGCAACTGTTTGCTGCCTAAAGAAACCTGCTGTCATTTTTGGAGTCTGTGCATACAATTAAACATGTAATTGAATTCCCTTTTGTATGCACTGGATTTGGGACTTTCCAGTTCCTGTATAAGACAACACTGGCTGTGTTTTATAGTGCAGCAATCTTACTTCAGAACAATAACCTTCAATTCTCATTGGGGGAAAAAAAAGGAAGAAAAAGAAAGAAAACAGAAATAAATTGAATAATCAAACTTTAGTAATTACCAGCAGGTAGACTCCAGAAACAACACCAATTCAAAGTAAAAATCAGAGACCTGCATTTACACA